CAGTTACCCCTCCTGCCCGTGTCTCACTCACCGATTGAACACCTTAAAGACAATAGCTATTTGGTCGTCTACCCGGAGCACCCCAATCTTGCAGAGACAGCAGAGGAAAGCAGCAAAGGCTGCTTCGTGTCCTGAGGGAGTAAAAACAGCCGAGGTTGACAGTCTTCCAAAAAAAAAAGGAGTGCGACTATTCTTGGTCTCACCAGTGTCCCAGTCACTGAAACTGCCCCTCCAAGGAGGGAGGTCAACATGGAGATGAGAGGTTCTCTTTCCTGCCCAGCAAGACCTAGGCCCTCTGAGCCACCAGAGCTATAATTCTACTCCTAACAGGCCCAGGCTATTGCTTCTTAAACAGGCATTTAGGTTTCATTTCGTAAATTTAACTCACTCACTAATTCCTGAACACCTACTCTGAGGGCCGTCCCTGCCCATGGCACACAGTCCCTGCCCTTGTCTGACAGTTTATGACAGACATTAAATACACAATCACTTCTATACTCTAGCTCTAAGGAGGAGAAGGTGAACACTGTCACAGGGGGACCCTGACATAAGGGCTCAAGGGTTCCCTAAGAAAATAATATTTAATCTGGAAGATGAGTAAGAACTGGCAAGGCATGGGGTGAGAAAGCAGAGAGCGTTCTAGTCAGAAGAAACAGCACGTCACAAGCCGTGAGGCAAGAAAAAAACGTGCTGTGCTGGAAGAGCCCTCGGCGGCCAGTGAGGCTAAGCAGCGAGCGAGGGAGAAGGCGGAACGAGGTGAGGCTGAGGTCAGAGGCGTCGCAGCCCGAGTCAAGGCTCCGACGCTGTCCCCAGCAACGGGAGCCACCGAGGGCTTCCAAGCAGGTCCCGCTCCAACAGGATCACGTGCGGTCAAAGGCACCTGCTTCCTCCCTCAGGTCGAGTAGGAATGGTCGGCAACACAGAAAACACCGACTGGCCTTGGGACTGAATCCATGGTCACAGTCACAGAAAACGTAACTGGAGGGAGGTGAAGAGAGTATTTCCGTGACTTCCTGTCCTCCTCCAGAATGAAGGACCCTCCAGGGACGTAAAAAACTTGTGAACTGTTACTTTCACCTGCAGTTTCTGATCATGACCAGCCAGAATCCAAGCCATCATCATTCAGGGGTAACCATCACTCTTGCACATCTGAGAGCAGCTGAGAAGGGAAGAAAAACCCACCCCTGCTGACCTGGCCCCTCTCCCCTCCAGGTCT